AAAACCCTCAATTTAAGCTAGAAATAAAGCTTTATAGCTTCGTAAACAGGGATACCGAAAATTGAATTTTGTACATACGGGATATATATACCATGAATCAATGCTTTGTGACGTCAGTTACAGCATGGCTTCGAGCAACGGAACATCTAAAAAAATGGATGAAAATCACGCCAAAATTCTTTATTTTCTGCCAAAATAAAAAAAAGAAGTCAATTAAACGCTATAGAAATTGCGACGAGACCATAATGGACGTTTTGTTAAATGTTGGGCCAAATTGGAAGAGGAATGATGAAGAAATTATTGAGAAATTTCAAAGTTAAATCATGGTGGTCAAAGACAAGATGGCGGACGTCTTCTTCTCCAATCAAGAAAACGAAACGAAACTGCTTCAATGGTGTTCAAAGTCAACAATATGTTATATGTGTTACCCTGTAAGTTATTATATAACTACTCTTAAGGTATAAAGCTATTATGCTTTATTTGTTTTACTTTTTACTAACTCATTTAATATTTTACCCTATTTTTCTTAAAAAAAATGTTACCTAATAATACGTTCATTGCATACATTTCAATACCATAACATGATGATTACTATCGAATTGATACAGTAGTCGTCCATTGGACATTTTCACCTAAATATAACCCTGTTACATAAAAAAATTCACCCTCCCCCTAAAATTATATTACAGGTCCCCCCAACACAGCTTTAATTTATCGGTAAAATGTCGGTATATTCTTTAATATATATATAAATAATAATTAATGAGCTATTTTTTTAATTCCCTGTAGTGAATCTATCAAGCAAGATAAACCGTGCATGGCTATAGAGAGTGAACAGCAGAAGATGGTGAGTTTTTTTTTTCTCTGGTGAATTAATTTACACGATATATTGAATCAGACTTTAGAGAGGGTGGGAAAGGGTATTTTCGTGAGCCGTGAATGGTGAATATTTGTTCGTGTGAAATGTGAAATGCTTGATTTTAGTGTCGTGAAATGTGATTTGTTCTACAGCCGTGAGGCTTGATTGTTGATAAAAATGCTCCGTGAAATGAGAATTAAGGATGCCTGTTTCGTGAACTTTGATTATTATAGTGATTATTATAATAAACATGATACGCGATAATCAAATTTATATGATCTCATTCGATTGCACAAGAGTAAAAACTTCGGAGGCCTTTCGCGACGTTCCTGACGCTGAGGACAAGGTTCCTGAATCCTGACGCTGAGGACAAGGTTCCTGACGCTGAGGACAAGGTTCCGGACGCTGAGGACAAGGTTCATGACGCTGAGGACAAGGTTCCTGGCGGTGAGGACAAGGTTCCTGGCGATGAGGACAAGGTTCCTGGCGATGAGGACAAGGTTCCTGACGCTGAGGACAAGGTTCCTGACGCTGAGGACAAGGTTCCTGGCGGTGAGGACAAGGTTCCTGGCGATGAGGACAAGGTTACTGGCGATGAGGACAAGGTTACTGGCGATGAGGACAAGGTTACTGGCGATGAGGACAAGGTTCCTGGCGGTGAGGACAAGGTTCCTGACGCTGAGGACAAGGTTCCTGACGCTGAGGACAAGGTTCCTGACGCTGAGGACAAGGTTCCTGACGCCGAGGACAAGGTTCCTCACGCTGAGGACATGCGCGGAGGTCGTCGTACATTCTCGTCACTCAAACTTGTAAGTTATGATGTAGTTTTTAACTGACAGGTAGAGAAGTGAGAGAACTTAAAGCGTAGATACTGTACCATGCATTAAACATAGTCTTAATAAACCTATTATTATTATATTATTTTATGAGAATCTAGTTTTCCGTGAAATTGCTTTTTTAAGACACGTGAATCGTGAAACGGCTTTTTTTTTCGTTGTGAAACGTGATCCATACCCCCCTTTCCCACCATCTTTAATGCATAGTACAGTCTCTACGCTTTAAGTTCTCTCACTTCTCTGCCTGTCAGTTAAAAACTACATCATAACTTACAAGTTTGAGTGACATGCATGTACGACGACCTCCGAAAAGCCTTCAAAGTGTTTACTCTTGTGCAATCGAGTGAGATCATATAAGTTGATTATCGCGTATCATGTTTATTATGACTATTATAGAATAGATCGAAATAAACAAAGCAAAATCACAGTTCACGAAACAAACATCCTTGATTCTCATTTCACGGAGCATTTTGATCGACAATCACGCCTCACGGCCGTAGAACAAATCACATTTCACGACACTAAAATCAAGTATTTCACATTTCACGCGAACAAATATTGACCATTCACGGCTCACGAAAATACCCTTTCCCACCCTCGGTTACGTCAATGTATTGTGATATGGTATAATATTCTAAGGCTGGCAACTCTTCGACACAATACATTTACACACTACATTAATAAGGTCGCTTGAAACAAAAGTATCTTTGATACATTTTCCAAAGTTATTGCGAATTTGTGAGAAAAGACTCAGATATGAAAAACTTCGGATATATTTTCCAAATTTATTAATACTTTTTGGAGTTGAAAAAAGTTTAGAATTGTTTAAATTTCTTCCATAAAAAGTTAGTTTTTATCGAAAGTTTGCTGTAGATAGCCGGGATAAAAATTGCTTGACGAACGTCATCATCAGAAAAACCATCGGCTTATTTGACTTATTTCTTATCGGCTGCTGGACAATCGGAAAATTCCGAATATAATATACTGCAGTCAATGAACTTCAGAAATTTTCGATTTTTCAGCAGCCAATAAGAAATAAGCCGATGGTTTTCCGATGATGACGTTTGTTGAGCAATTTGCATATCCCGCCCATCTACAGAATAAATTCGATAAAAAGCATTTTATTGAAGAAATTTAAGCACTTCTAAACTTTTTTCAACTCTAGAAGGTATCAATAAATATAGAAAATATGTCCAAAACCCAAGGTGTTTTGTATCGAATTTTTTTCTTCAGAAATATGCGTTACTTTTGTTGTTTCAAGCGACCGTATTAAATTAATGTGTGTAACAATGACGTAATCATGCGAGTCTGCATACATAGTAGCAAAGACATGAGAACTTTATGTGCATTTTTAAACATTGTATAAGTGAACACATATATTTGCTGGATTGCATGCCCATGATACTAGCTTTTGAACAAGTAACAACTGTTCAAAAAGTCTGCCTTACATCGTAAAATTCCCTCTTGCCATTTCTTTTTAATTTGTTCCCTAAAATTTTTATTGCATATTTTTTTGGTAGAGTGATATGAAGTTAACGACTGGACAAAATTAAAGCGAGAGCAAAAACTGGAACAAGCAGATGAGAAAGTGGTAGAAGACGTCGAAGATGATGCAAAAGTACGGTTTGTCACTGTTATTAATGTTATACAATTAAGAAAATTATATTTATTTTTTACTCATTAGGCATGCCACGCATTTTATTATCAGCCGGATTTTGTATTTTTATAACACGTTAAGTCGTATCGTTGCGCTTGTTAACAGAATTTTTCCCATTTTTTTATGGTGGTTCACTGTAAATTGAGCGGAACATGCACGATGGATCATCAACAGAAATGAAAAACCGCGACCAACAAAACAGAAGCAACGACGATCCAAATATACAGTGAATGTAAGTTTTGCTGGTGCAATGCTTATGCAATAATTTATAAATATTTTTAAATACTCATGTTGATTGCTACACCCTATTATACATACTCAGCCGTAGCGGACATTTGGGGATGGGAGAATTTGATTGGCAACATCACATTGACCACCTTGATTGAAAAATTCGTGGTTAAAAATTATTGTTACAGGGGTGATCACTTGCGCCTCCAGGTGTCCGCCGCTGTTACTCAGTTCTTCATTTATTTCTGTGTGATATGCTACACCATGACTTTTATATTTATGTACTTAAAATTTAAAGAAATTTTAGCATTCCTATCTTTACAGTAAAAGTATATATATTAAGCAAATGTTTCCTATAACATGTGTAGTGAACTATTCAATCTATTTTGTTACTAATGGAAAATATCCTTTCATTTCAGATGAAGACCTACAACCAACAGATCCTAAAACATTGCCAAGATGAGAGTAACACAAGTTTTATCAAGGTAAGAGAAAATGAAAAAGGATGCCAGCGATTTTTAATCGTTTCTTATTAAAAACCGAAAAACTATTTCAAAAATTTGGATAAAATAACTGTTTGAAAAAATGTTTATTTATCCTTCAGGGAAAAGAAATTTTTACATCAAACCGCAACTTACGAGCTTGTACGGAGAGAAGACAAATGTGAAGTGAAGACAACTAGATCATCCAAGAAAAGACAATACTCGATTGAATTGCAGGATGAAGGAATGGTAGATGACATGGACTCATCAACAGAACGTCGATCCCAGATCAACAGAAACAACGAAAATGCAAAAGTGATTAATATAGATGTAAGTGATGTTATAAAACTTTTGAAATATATGCATGCATGAATTTCTTTTCAAACCTAGTAATATACCGGTACATGAAAAAATGTTCTCCATTCTGATTGAAATACAGTGCCAAAAAAAAATACAGTAGCAAAACGAAATACTTCGAAAACAGTAAAACAAAATCACATGTTCAGTACTGACAGTTAAAACCTTGTATTAAGTTGTTGGGTTTAAATGGGTGGGTTAAATGATTTACTTCGCATGTGTTTCGTGCCTGGAATCGAAGTGACTATGAATTTTATATATTATTAATAAGTAATAGTATGGTTTCTCGTGCAATTTGGAAAAAACATACACTCTTGACCTTTTCAAACACTTCAAATTACACTCGTACTTCAGACTTAAATAACTCACTCGTGCATTTTTTTTCCAAATTGCACTCGAAACCGTACAAATGCCTATACCAACAACTATAATTCCAAAACGTTGTTTCCGGCGATATTTAAGTATCATGCACTATCCTTATCTCGTGTAGTTTCAACAGGTAGGGATTTTGTCAGCGGTGGTCAATAATTTTAGGCGCATTCGAAAGATTATCTTAAACGTTTTCGAGTTCTTTTCTGGCTGTTTCTGGTGAACAGCAGATTCGCAAAAAAATATAAATTCGTTTTCGCAAACAATGTACTGGTCAGAACCTTTCTTCGTTCACTAGTCAAAGTTTTTTGATAGGAAAATTCAAAATTCGCGATTTTCCGTCGGAAACGGACGATTCCCGACCTATAAAGTTACGTAAAAGCTTCATTTTTCTACATTTTTGTTTCCGATCGTGAACTTTCGCATACTTTCCCTCCTTCCCCCAAAAATAATTAAATAACAATATTTTTTCAGTAGAAATAACTAGGCCAAAAAATAAATAAAACGTTCAAAAACCAACTGTGATACTTACCCTCCCCAGGTCTCCTATATGTTCACCACGCCAATTTTGACGCATGCGCAGACAAAATTCCTACCTTTTTGTTGTTGCAACAAAAAGTAATAGGTGACCGTATGATGGCAACACAAATTCGTCGTATCCCTTAGCCCCCCCCCCTCGCCACTGGATATTATACTCCAACACACTGAACACAGTTGCCGTGACGTCACATGAAAGACTCTTTCAGCCTGCACCTTGACCTTCTATTTTTAATTTCGGTGCATTTCACACGAGAAGACTGGCACTACGCGCCTTGGGAGTGGGGCGGAGGACGGGCAAAAGCATTTGACGTCATACTTACTAAATACTGGCCCAAAATTTACCAAAACCTGCCGAGTAAAGGCTAGGGCCTAGGCTATCATTGACAATATTTCATGTTTTAATGCAATTTAACCATGCAATTCAAAATTGTTATTATGGGATAATAAATGCCGTTGAATTGGGACCGAAGCCTAAAATAACGATGGAAATTTTTTATCTGCGATAATTTGGTAAAATTGTGAGGACCGAATAATCTAATAAAAAAATCCTGGCAATATTACTCAAGCCTTTTAATGATATCTTTCAATCATATTTCATGGACTCATGGATACTTTTTTAATTTCAAAAGGTGATGTGATGAAATTTTGATGTGATGAAAAGAAATGATGAAAAGAACAGAAAGAGCAATTCACGAATGGCATGGAGTCAAGAAAAGAATGACGATTCGCAAGAATCGGAAACCACAACATTGCTAATATGAAAGTAGCAAAAAATTTTACCAATGTAAGTTAGTTAAAGACAAAATACTTATTTAAAGATCAAAGGGGATTCAAGTGAATACAATGATTTTCTCATTGAAAAATTTGAAATTAAACATGCTACGAGTTTGGCGAATTTTTCCACTTTGTTTTCCAATTTTTGGAGTATAGAAATAATAAATTGCCCTCAAAATTAGGTCAAACGTTTGAGGTAAAACTTTCAAAAACGTAGTAGATAACAGAAAACTGTTTGTATAAAAAAGATCGACGCAACAATACCTTAAAAAAGCACGAAATCTTGCTTGGAATATTGAAGATTGTATAGTCTTTTCTGAAAAAGAAATATTAATCCGCGTCATCCATAATTTAATGTGAAATAAACATGGCTTGGAGTCTAGCACCAAGCATTTTCTTTTTTTCATCGTCAGTTGGTGCTGATAATAAAATCATAGCTGTCAGATGCTGTCCCTACCCAAGTTTATATTCTGTTAACTATGGGATAAGTCACAATGAAATCAACATACGATGAAAACAAGCAACCCTATTTCAAGCGTTAAAAAGTTAAGAATTGGTGGATTATTTTTCGTGTTTGATTCCCATGGGAATATACTATCCTTTGTTTTTTATGCTAATTTTTTTTATTTTGCGCAAGCAAAAAGGTATTTGGCAATTTTATTTTTTTCCGTATTTTTAATTCCCAGGGGAATATGCTATGCTTTGTTTTCATGTTGATGTTGATTTCATAGTGGAAATGCAACTTTATAATGAATCCTCTTTGATTAAATATGATAAGTATCTTGTTACTGAGAGCAGCTGCGACGTGCCATGCAAATGATCATTAAGGCGTTCCGGTTAAATGAGTATGAGAATTGCGTTCGATCTGTTTGAACTATATAGACAAACAGTACTATAATGCTCACTAAATTAGCGACATTGCAATTTTCGTTTGGATTTTAAACTCCTATGAAAAAGTTTTTTATATGCATTCTCATGCTTATTTAATCGAGCCTTTGGTTTAGGTAAGTTTAAGGTTTGTATTTATTTCGGACCAGTTAACAAAACTCAAGCCCATGCCCTTTCAGTTAAGATCTTACGTTTCGAACCAGAATCCAAAACTCAGTCTAAGTGGGTTATAGGATAGCTAGTGATAACGTAATTTATCTTTTTATTTTGATTTTTTGTTTAGAACGTAATTTATTAGCTAAATGTATGGAGTGCGAGAGTGTGCGCCGTGTGTATAGGATGCATGGGGTTAGGCTAAACTAAAGGAATTAAAATTTTGACAGCAATATTTAAGGAGAAAATATATCTTTTCTGAACATTGAAAAAGGACTACTTTCCTAACATCTGCAAAATGCGTCGAGTTTCGTTATTTAAACAAAAATTATAGCCTGCTAGTAAAGCATATAAAAGGAAAAATCCGGATTTTGAGGTTTCGTATATTCATGTGTAAAGGCAAGTAAGAAACTCACCTGTTTGTAAACGCGGTCTTTCGTCTGATTGTCAACCTTTTAATTTATCTGTTTACGTTTCGCCTAAAATATCCGATTAACGAAATTAATTATGTATACTTTACCAAAATTTTAATTCCTTCAGTTTTAAGGGTGGGCAGTTCGGGCTGGTGGCAGGTTGGGCAGTTGTGAGTGTCTGTGTGATGGTGAGGAAAGCGGAAGTTACGAATGGAATGCAGGTAGCTTAGGACCAAGGCAGACAGCTTAGGACTGAGGCAGACAGCTTAGGATTGAGGCAGGTAGGCAGCTGGTAGGAATCAGTGGGGGGCACTTGTCATTTCGGCCATGGGATTCAAAATTTGCATGTCGAGTATTTGTTACTAATGCTTGTTGTTTTACATTTGCCAGGTATGCGCGTGGCTGCTCTCAAGAGAAGATCGACTTAGCAATTTGCATTATTTTGCATTTGCAAGGTTGGTCTTCTCTTCGCCTCGCTACCCCGGCTGGCTCTCCGAGTGCTACCTCTACTTTAGGTAGAAGTACTTTTACTATATAGTAGAAGTACTTCTGCTTGAAGTAGAGGTGGCACTTGGGGAGCCGGCCGGGTTGGGGAAAAATTTTTTTATTTTTTTTTTCAATTCCCATGGGAATTGAATTTTTAATTAAAAAGGAGTCTCTTGTATAATTAATGAACAATTTATTGAAAAGAATTGTAATTACAAATTGAATAACAATAAAAAGAGAACAACCACTGCATACGTATTTAATTAAATAACAATAGAAGAAAACAGAACATGGCACAAAGAGAACAATTAATATTGTGTTCAACACAAGTGAATAAGCACAAGTGAAAACACAACATTAAAAAACTTGTTTGCCCGCGAATTAACATTAAAAAGTTAATTCTTGAGGAAACAAGAGAACCTGGTCTTTTCAAGATAAATGTTTATACTTCAAAATAAATATTGTAAAACAACTCTAATGATAAATTTTACGAGTCTGACGGACAATCCAAAGCGTAACACCAGGTTGTTTTACAAGGAAAATATATGGCTCAAAGACGAAGTAAATCGAACATGCTTTTACTTTTTTTTAATACAACTAATTGTTTTTGGTAAAGTGACCAAAATCTTCACTCGAGTATGGAAAATAATGATTTTATCGCGATGTTTAGATGCTAAGAGAAGTCCATTCGTTGTAATTCGCGATCAGTTGTCAAGTGGTAGGCAAGACAGTCATTGTCGTTGACAACAAATTCCATTGCTCGAAGTAAATTAATTTCCTCAAAATGCCTTAACATTTTCACAATGGTCAATGCATTGACAGCATACTTTATTAAACTCAGAAATGATATTTTTAAACATCGAAACAGTACGACTAGATCATTGGTTCCATACTCAACTGAACATATATAAGAACATTTCTTTCAAGTGCCAAATCAAGAAATATTTAAGAATTTGAAATTATCCCTGTCTTTCGGAGCCATATATCTTTGAGAGTCGTTTTTAACCTGACAACTTTGATACTAATTCAAGTGATGAAAATGCAGTTCAACAAAATTTTAAAAGAATGTTATTTCTCCAATTCTGATTGATTTTTGAAACAAAAATTTGAACAGTTCCAATTTCCTTTGCTTAAAAATGGTACATTTCTCGTCCTCGATAAATACAACAAGATGATTCACTCATTCACATTGATCCACTATTTGATAAACAAACATCTCCTAAATTTCACTTAGGGAAAAGTTGTTCTGTTTACTCATTCACATTGATCCACTACTTTACAAACAAACATCTCCTAAATTTCACTAGTCTTAGGAAAAGTTGTTCTGTTTTATATTATTTATATATTTAAAAAAACAATTTTTGGAAATATTTTTTATGCAAATATCGGGAAATATTTTTGATGCAAAACATATACCGACCATGTTCAGAAACACACAAAATTGGATTGAACCAAACTTTCAAATGTTCATAAAATCTTTTCTTATTTTTTTTGCACTTTTATTTATATTGGTCGAAACCAAACAGAAATTTCAATTGGAAAAGAGCTTATGGTTTTGCATAATGAAAAACAGGAAATAAGTTTTGGATATACTTTGCTAACTCAAAAGTAGACAAACAGTTTTGCTCAAAGTCCTCACAAGGAACAATCAGTTTCCATAAAAATCCTTAGAATCTCTCTCAACTTGTAAACAAAATGATATACTGCATTTTCATCAATTTCTAGTATCAACAGCAAACCAAACACAAACATCAAAAGACATCCTACAGTAGTAGCAGTTGTCGATTGAACATATGAAATTTCATTGAAAGGTCACAAAGATTGAGTTTTAGTTAATTTTGGACAGCATTCTTGTCAGGTTAAAAACAGACATTCTTGAAGTATAAACTTACCTTTACATACTCATTGAAAAGACCATGTTCGAGTGCCATGTAAACCTGTTTGCTTATATTATTATTATGTCTATATTATAACACACCATTACAAAGTGGAACTATTTGAAAATAATGTTAAACTGAAGCAAAAGAAATACATGTAAACATAGAAAACTAACAAATTCATTTTAATTGCCAAACAATTATTAACCACAACCAGCAATAAAAAATACAAATCTTGCATCTCAGTTAGTATCCAAACCAAAGTATGAAATTAGTTAATTGAATCTGATTTGGATTAAATATTTCATTCAGCTTAGAAATTTCCCACTTAAATAAATTAGGATTTATCATAGCTCGATCAGATTATTTAAATATTTTAAAATCTTGAACTTTTTATTCAGATTATAAAATTTGGTACATAAAGAGCATCTCAATCATTGCCTATCTTATATTTGATGAAACACACACAAATTTTGATTTACTATTTAAAACATTTGCAGTGCTTGTTTTATCAGATATAAAAATACGAGGCAAAGCTGAGTGTCTTTATGTCTGATAAAACAAGCGCTGCAAATGTTTTAAATTGCTTCAAAAGCAATCGATCTAGTAAGTTCACTGACAAAGTAATTTTCAAAAAATATGTTGTGTAAGTCGAGAAAATCAAAGTTAAAGTTTATGAAAATCAAGGGGAATCACTATCACACATAAAGATATGACATGCTTATGATTTTTCTTTGTGTGTTTCCTCATGAATTATTGAGTTTTGAAGAATACTAAAAATATGGTTAATTTTCGTGTTTGAATTTTGATTAAAATCTTATCAAACTATGCATTTATTAAGATATAGGACAAAGAACGATCAATCTTATTTTCAGCCTCAATATTCCAATTATTGGATTGCTTTACCAAAAAATTAATATATACTTTTCATTGCTGATGGTTTTTCCTTCCCTATAATACAAAACATATTCCAAAGAACATCATCCTGTAGTCTGGTTGTGGTTTTCCTTGCCATGCATGAGAATCAGATTTTCTTTTATTTTCTCCGACTCACATTACCCCCCAAATTAAGTATAGTTTGCTGAGCTTGAGTTCATCCATATCCAAATAAGTTCCACTTTGTAATTAAATAAGGGCAATATCCTAGCTTATTTTGACCTTAACTGTTTGTTTTAAAGTTGGGAAAGTTTTTTAAAAATCACAAAGTCATTGAAAACCACAATGTATAAATTGGCCAAGAATAAAAAAACTGAAGAACACAACCCTTCTATAAGCCAGTACTGTATAGAACTGCCTTGTTCATCGACAAATCCGTTTTATCTGTGTCCAGGAACAACCAAACTCATGTATTAAGAGTGTGCTGGGATAAATAAGACAGGACTATTAAACAACGAGGCAGTTCTAACAGTGCTAATTTTAAAAGTATTGTATACTTCAATTGATCACTAATTGCTTTTCGTAAGATTCAATATTTGAAAACATCCAGAATCAACATTTAATGAAACATTGTGATTTTCAGATGAACATTCCAAACTTTCAACAAACACTGAAAGTCCACTTAAACAAGAGAAGATTGAGATGGACCATAAGTTTACTGTTTTCACAATGCACTTTGACAAGTTCAAAACACAAATTGCAATGAGACAAATGTTCATCAATGTTCTTTTAATCCTTCAATGAAAACATACTCCAATTTAATACCGAAACATGAAAGATGACAAAAAGAAAATACTCAATCCTGAAATAAAGTCACATATTTTATTTGTAAGCAACTGCTTTGGTTTGTAATAAAAACCACCTCAATCTTCTCAATGTTTAACTGATCTAACGGAGCCAAACATTGACAAACTTTTCAATTTTTTATATTTGACAAAAACTTTGAAAATATGTAGAAACAACTATGTTCTCAGATAGAATACAGATAAACTCAAAATCATCACTGTTTAAATTTTTTTTTCAAAACACAGATAGTTTGTCAATTCCTGGCTTGCTCATAAAATGCTTATATTCTTTGAAAATTATAAAAATTTTGTGATCAGTGACACAAAAATTAATCAAGTAAACGAGGAACCACAAAACGGAAATTTTCGAAATTAATACAACAAGAAATATTTAGGCGTAAAAGATTGTGTTTATTATTTTTGTTGTATTTTGTGTTGTAAGAAACATGATCATGCTATATTTCGCAATATTCTGCCGGGATTTTTTGAAACTATTGATCACAAGCAATCGTATAATTTTCAAAACACTTCATGTAAGATAAGACAGGAAAATTTTAAAACCTTTTATATACTTTCCAATGACAGTGCTCATTTTTGTGATCATAGACACTTCTTCGACCAACAACCTGAAACATTCTTTGAAATTGCAACACACATCTAGAAAATTAAAAAAACTCACTATTGAGAACATGAAATAAATTAATATATTAGGCTTAAAAAAATACCTGTGGTTCCGGTTTCATATCGTGAAAAAAATTAGGGTCGGTAGGTCATTTTTTCATGGTTTTGACAGTTTTTTGCTGGGCGATTTTGCAGTAGAGTCAATATTAACTAGGTATTTCCTATGGAACAATTTAGGCAATAATTTATAGTGTGCAATAGATGCCATTTTGGCACGCTGTATGAGCAGCCTGCAACCACCTGAAGAAAATAGGGTCACACAGTCAATCGGTCAATCGTGTTAAAAAAATACTAGGGTCGGCAGAAAAAATAGGGTCAGTCGGAAACCGGAAGCACAGGGTATTTGTTTTACGCCTTACAAAGAAAATTGTCCAAAGAAATGGGTCGTTCCAGAAAAGATCCACACTCCCCCCACGGAGGACATGTCTGCCGTCCGAAGGGGGAGGGGAGACAAAATTGTCTCTGATAATAGTAAATGTATAAGGACATCCGAAGGGGGTTAACTTCCAATTTCCCCCGTGGGGGTGGTATGGATGTTTTCTGAAATGACCCAATATAAGGAGGTTAGAAATAATTAGAAGAAAAATCATTTACCTATTATTCAAGATCTTGGAATGTGTACATTTTTTATTATGATGAGGTCTTGCAACATTCTTGGAACTTGCATTGAACATCATTCTACAAAAATTTATGAGAGTTTTACTGAGGGTGTGAATAGCTTGGCTAGCAAGATATGATGATTAAACTTACAACTATAGTTATAGAAACTTTCATTTTCACTGCTTACTATCCCTGTTATAAAAAGGTTGCTACCCAAAAATGGTGGCGTGAGAAAGGCTAATTGGAAATGTTAAACTTTGATTGGAATTTTTTTCAAACTCATTCCGACTCCAGATGTCTTTTTATTTTTTTAGCTTTCTCTGAATCCTTGCCAGCCCATGTTGAAAAATAGCTTTACACTGCTACTGTAGTGCATATTTTTGAGCCTGGAGTAGATGTGCTTCAAAAGAACAATCATCTTTTCAAACCACCCTCAGCCTACAAACTCTTCAATACTAGCTTGCTTACCCACAGGCGGCCCAATCTCAAAATGAATGATCAGGTGTTGCGGGTTTTTAATGGTTTTTATAAACAAATTTATAGTCAACCAAAACTATTTTAAAAACATTCTTAAATTAGTCAAATAAATACATTTTAACAATAAAATATAGTTGACATGATAGTATAATACCTTTGCATTCTTTTAATTACTCCATGAGCTCATTTAGAGCGGTTGATGTAACATTTTCTGTGGCCTACATTGTGTGTGCTCATCTATATATAATATAACAGTAAAAGGCTAATCACTGGCGGCACGACCGCATCGCCTTCAAAGTCAAATATCTCCGCTAAAACTTCTCGTACGCCAAAACAAATTCGATTACATCTTTTCACAAAGATTTCTCTTTCTAAATAATATGGTTTGATCGTAGCTTGGGCAAATTTAGCGACAAACGAAACCAAAATCTCCTCAATTTCGGATACTGTTCAAAATACTTAGGGCTGCTCGGGCACGATCGTGGACGTGACGTAATCAATACATACTGACAATAACGCCTTACCGCCTTACGTGGGGTGGGACAGCATAAAGCGACAAACTATCGTCGAATTTGATATGCTGTCTCACCCCCGGTAAGGCGTTATTGTCAGTATGTATTGATTACGTCACGTCCACGATCGTGCCCGAGCAGCCCTAAGTATTTTGAACAGTATCCGAAATTGAGGATATTTTGGTTCCGTTCGTCGCTAAATTTGCCCAAGCTACGATCAAACCATATTATTTAGAAAGAGAAATCTTTGAAATTTGTGAAAAGATGTAATCGAATTTGTTTTGGCGTACGAGAAGTTTGAGCGGAGATATTTGACTTTGAAGGCGATGCGGTCGTGGCGCCAGTGATTAGCCTTTTACTGTTATATTATATATAGATGAGCACACACAATGTAGGCCACAGAAAATGTTACATCAACCGCTCGAAATGAGCTCATGGAGTAATTAAAAGAATGCAAAGGTATTATAATATCATGTCAACTATATTTTATTGTTAAAATGTATTTATTTGACTAATTTAAGAATGTTTTTATAATAGTTTTGGTTGACTATAAACTTGTTTATAAAAACCGTTAAAAACCCGCAACACCTGATCATTCATTCTGAGATTGGGCCGCCTGTGACCGGATGTTCTCTTGCGAGCAAAATTGCAATATTGTCCCACAATATTGCAATTTTGATAGGCAGATTGCTCTGAGCAATTTGCAACCGACGCGAACAAATTGCAAGTTAAAATTCACAAAAGATTTGTAAACAAAGCCTCTGATTATAAGAAACAGACTATAAGAAACAGGGAAGCACCAATCCAGTTGCTCAGACTACTTGATTGGCTTCCCTCCTTCTTATAATCCAATCAGAGGCTTTGTTTACAAATCTTTTGTGAATATCCAACTTGCAATTTGTGGGACAATATTGTGGGCCATTTATACAAGTGAAAATAAGTCGCGGCTTAAATAACTTAATAAGTCATGAACAACTCGTATAAACAGTCAATTTGCAATATGCCACAGTTTATTTAGGCCTACTGTAGCTCTCAACTCTGGGCTTATTTTAGCCGTGGCCCAGGGTGCATTCCGTGTAAACATCACGCCGAAGATAATCTGAGGTAGTGTTACCGTGCGCCAAGTGCGGTCAACTTATGCGCCGGCTGATCGTGGGCACCATGATTTTTCATTAATAGTTAGTTGCTTAAAATTTAAAGGTGATCTACAGTCCGATCTGCGCATGTGCACAAATGAGCCCACTTTTTATGATACAAACAGTTTAACTATGTTTTGAGTTCTTGAAAAGCCTGATTGTCGTTTCTTGATCATTTATTATACTCTAGAAGCTTGAAAATATAAATAGTTGTCGAATAAAGCTCAATATTTTGGACACAACAATCAAAACAAAGGCTTTGTTTACATACGGACTGTAGATCACCTTTAAACTTGCTAAAAAGGCGTGTAACTGATGAAGAAAATGTTTTGCTGATGAGCAATGATGAGTGTTGTTACTGTTGTATCACAAGTTGACCTCACTTACTCAGCAGTTTTTGGTGGGTTTTTTTTTTGGGGGGGGGGCGAGTGCCAAAGGCACGAGATTTGTAGGGGTGTCTGGGGACATGCCCCCCAGAAAATTTTTAAAATTTGGACCCCTGAAATGGCATTTGTAGCATTCTGAGAGCACATTTTGTAAGAAATTCCAGGTTTTCAAAACATTAGTTAATGGTGCATTCTGGTATAAATCATGTGCTAAGCATAAAAAACGACGTTTCAGAGAAAGTATTGTAGATGATTTCAAACTGAATACATTAGTGAATGGAACTGCAAGGTGGTTTAATTAATAACCAATGACAATGTAAAATTTATTCGCTAAGTGCGTGATCTTGGAAACGTTAAATCAAAATCCGCTGTATCAAAATTTGATCAGTCTATGCGCAGTTCTATTGTTGATTATTGAACAGTCCTATTACCTTATATGGTGATACTGCGGATTCAGGTAGACCGTGAAATGCGAATAATTGTCGCGTTAGTTTTAACAGTTGTACGATGACGTTTCTAGGCAGATTTTCAACGTTTCTAAGGCGTGGTTTCAACGTTTATTTTTAAAATTTGAACGTTATTAAAGTTTGAACGTTATTTTTAATTTTTTTTTTAAATTTGAAGATTTTTATTGCACAAACGACACCATGGCAACGTCAATCGACCTGCCTAGAAGCGTTATCACACAACTGTTGCAACGATCGCGGTAACCTGAACTTGCAGTACGTAATACTAATATTTAAACCAGAGAAGTGAAAGAACACCTGAAAATTCCTACGTATAGATACTGTATAGTCCGTCGTAAATTTGATCCAATTAATTGCTGTTGTTTTATGAACACTCGGAAGATACTCTATATGATATATGCATGTATATCCATAGGCAGAATCAGAATCAGTTTTATTTGCACTTATTTGTTTCTTACAAGATTATATTATGTATTACTAGTATACTATATATATATATATATATTTACATTATATTTCATAATATGTATTTACAGATGAAGAGTGCGTAGTGGTCAAAGGAGCAGAAGCTTTCGAGTTGACTACTACCCATTATGAGATTATATTTGAGTATTTAAAACTAAATTAAAAAAAAGTTGATCTTTATAGTATTTGTTGCTAAGGTTTCTAAGTGTATAGTATAATTTACAAAACTTATTTTACATATGAGATTACTATAATATCATTTTTTTAATAACATATGCAGTAAGTCTAGTCAAATCTGTCATGTAACTCTACTTGACTATTAAGTAAAAACATTTTATACTGTTTTTTGAAACTATAAAATGGCAAAGATTTAATCTGTATAGGAATTTTTTCCCATATTTTGGAAGCTTTTGTTTTGAATCGGGTTAGCCCATAATTTGTTCTGGAAGCTGGTCTGTATAGGTTCTGCTTGGAGGCATATCTGGTGTTATAACTATGAACATCAGATGCTTCTATAGTTAAATTTAATAAGGCTTTAGGAACTTCTGTTTTCCGAATTATTATTTTATAAACAAGAGATATTTTCAGGTTAAAGATATTTTCAAGTTTCAGTATTTCGAGGTTGAAAATAGGCTGTTACATTTTCGTTTGTTCTTGAGAAAAGGATTGCACGAAGACATTTGTTTTGTTCAGTTTTTATTTTATCCAATCTAGTTGGACAGGCAGTGCCCCAACTCATGATACCGTAATTTAGGTAAGAATATATTAGTGTGTAGTAAAGTTGTTTTAGCATATGAATGGATACGAAATGTCTTAGTTTATTTATAACTCCAGTGTTCTTGGCTATTTTGTTTTGTATATGTTGCAGCTGATCATGCTCATCGATAAAAACACCCAAATACTTTATCTTCTTTTTCCTTTTTATGTTGCATGTTTTTATTGTTATATCACATTTTTTCCTTGGTGAGGTAATTAGCATGTAATTTGTTTTTTTAAAGTTGATAGAAAGCTTGTTATCATTGCAGTATTTCAGTACATACTTTAATTCATTATTAATTGTTTTTTCTAGTTCATTTACGCTGTTTGAGGAATAGAAAATACTTGTATCATCAGCAAAAATTCTAAATAAAATTTTTTTTAAACAATTAGGTAAATCGTTGATATATAACAGGAAGAGTAGTGGCCCTAAAGTAAATCCCTGTGGAACACCACAAGTCATTGTTTTCATACTAGATTCTGTTTTACCAATTTTAACGTATTGTTTGCGATCAGATATGTAGCTTGAAAACCATTTATTCGCCACTCCACGAATGCCATAGGAATGTATTTTATTCAGTAGGATCTCGTGATTAATGGTGGCAAAAGCTTTCGAGAAATCTAGAAAGATTGCGCAAGTTATTTTGTTTTCGTCTATTGCTGTTTTCAAGTTTTCAATAGTTTCGAGAATTGCGTGTTTAGTTGAATGCCCTTTTCTAAAACCAAACTGATAATCAAAAAGTATCTTTTCTTTTTCGAGAAAGGCAAAAATTTGGTTGTACAGTATATAAGTCTTTCTAATACTTTACTAAAAGGAGAGATAATTGCAATTGGTCTATAGTTTCCCAATTCTGTTGTAACGCCACTTTTATAAACAGGAGTAACTCTTGAAATTTTGAATATTTCAGGAACTATTCCGGTTGATATTGATTCATTATATATCTTTACAAAGGGTTTACATAATAAGTGACTTGCGATTTTGAGGCACGATATTGGAATGTTCCTGTACGATTTATTTTTATCTAAGGAAGAAAATATTGCTGAAACTTGATTTTCTGTTACTGGGCTTAAATAAAAACTATTTGGTGGTGAAATATTTAAATATTGTGTAGAACTTGCTTGATTCGTAGGAAATTTTTTCGATAAGTTTGAACTGACATTTATAAAATAATTGTTGAATAACTCTGCAATATCGTTTTGATTCGTATGAGTCTTTCCATCATGCACAATTCTTGTCAGAGAAATTTGGTTTTTGCTCTTTCGTTTTATAAGATTGCCAATTATTTTCCAAGTTATTTTAAGATTATTTTTGTATTTTGTGAATTGGGATTGATAATACTCTTTTTTACTTTTCTGTTTGATAAATGTTAACATATTTGCATATCTTTTATATTCATTAATTTTGTGTGGAATTTTACTCAAAAAATGTGTGCGATACATTTCTTGTTTTTTTATAATTGATTTGAAAATACCGGCTGTAAGCCAGGGTTTGTTTAATTGCTTTTGTTTGGCTTGTGTCACGGTTTTTACTGGGGCATGGTTATCTACAATTTTATTTAGAGTAGATATAGCATCTTGTGTCTTTTTATCTAAGCTTTTATTAGGTGTGAGAATTTCGTCCCAGCTTATCTGTTTTATATCATGCGTGTTGAAATTTGTCCCAGCTTATCTGTTTTATATATGCGTGTTTAAATTTTTACCCTCGCGCTTGGCGCTCGGGCATAGATTATAGATGGCTCGGGCATGCATCGAATCTACTCAGTTTATTATTATGTCATAATAATAAACTGAGTAGACTCGATGCATGCCCGAGCGCCATGCGCGAGGGTAAAAATTTCAACATGCATTTTTGGGCAGCTATGGTATATCATAAATTTAGAGCCTATATACCGACGTAACTGGACACGATTATGGTTACATCATATAACAGATTCTTGTTTCAGAAAAATTGTCACTGCGTGCTGAATTTTTAGTTACGTTCCTCAAATTTGTTACATGCAATGACAACTAACTGTAGAAGCCACTGTTTTAGCCAAAATTCACCACTTTTAACCTGTAGTTGCAAAACTAATTTATTTGACTTTTTTCAGAATTCATAACTCATTGTGTGACTTGTCAGATTATAAATTTAGAATACTTTAGCTTGTTTTTAGCTTGTTTTTATTAAAACTTGCCATTTCGTTGCTGTTGTTATTGTAACAAATAGTGCTCCCTTATATTGTGTTTTCATTTTTCAAAATGAATTCTAGCCAAATATAATTCTAGTAAAATGGGGCGATTTCCCCCCCCTCGCCCCCCCCCCCCTAGTTTCCGCCACTTATAATCACCATTTACTCCATTTAGGTAATTACTATGCTATTACAACCAGGAACACAAATTTCTCAAGCCTCAAAGTCTCGCTTACAAATTTCTCGAATACTCAAAGTCTCGCTTAAACATTTGATGCGCGCCAACCACCATAACTGAAAACTTGTGCGCCAACCTCGACGTGATTGTGCGCCAACAATTCAAAACTCACGCTGAAGATCTTCCGCAAAACGTGCATGGAATGCACCCTGGGCCGTGGCTTATTGCAAATTGACTGTTTATACGTTTGCGACTTATTTAAGCCGCCGCTTATTTAGGCTGTGGGTTATTTTCGCTCGTATAAATGGCCCTAATATTGCAATGTTGCTCTCAAGAGAACATCCGGTTTGACTGTAATATAATTACGCTATTAAAATTGCTTCACCAAATCATTGCCAAATTCTGCACAGAAAATGTATGCAAAATTTTGTTCGAATCGCTGTTCTGCAGCGAACATCTTTGGGAAATACACCCTCAAATTCACCCTGGGCAAGTCAGCTTGGGTGAACATGGCATCTTTGTGTGCAGTGTAGTCCTAGTATAGGTATAAAATTCTAATTTTTTGAATTCAGATTTGTAAGAAATGTTTGAGGAACTGGCTCGGTGTTTAACACTGAGTTACCACAAACAAATGCATTTACCTATGCAAAATCCCTACTGTGGTCACAGAAACTTTTATAGTGTAACCCAGCTTTTTAGTTTATAGATATATTCGAGTAAAACATGTGAACATACCGTTTGTTTTTTCAATAACAATTCGTCAGTCAGTGCATTTTCCAGCCTCTCACATTCTTCGTGTTGTCTCCTCTGTCGTTCTATAACAGTCTCCATAACTGGAAATCTATTTAACTTGCCAGATGTGAAAAAATCAAAATCAAAAAATACGATTTCCTTGTCTTGCTTTGTCTTTCTACTATTACGTTTGTAATTTGTAAACTGATCCAAGATGGTTGCAATCTCGTACCCAGAGCCATCGTTGAGTGGCTCTCAACGATGGCTCTGGGTACGAGATTGAGACATTGAACTATAAATAAACTGGAAGGCTAACTGCTATGATGTAGGCCTATGATTTGATGAAGCCAAAATAGTTTTTCTGAGTTATGAGCAGAAATACTTGACCCCAAACGTCGGGCTATATATCAAATTGAAGCTATTGAAAATTGCTATTCGATGTGGAAATTTCAAGACTTCAGCGAAAAGAAAAATATTTAAAAAATACAAAAACAACTGCAAAACGGCAAATTTTCGGTAATTATGTTTGTAATTTTTCAAAATTTCCCTTTTAGCTAAAGTCTTGAAATTTCTACACCAAATAGCGTTTTTCATTATCTTCAATTT